AGTATTCTTGCTGGTGGGCATGGTTACTCCATCTCGGAGCAAGAGGGTCGGCTAACAAGTAGGAGAACACTGGTGTTATATTGACATGATTTTATGTGATGTGATATGGTAATAAATTGTTCCAAACGACTGTAAAGGAGTGCCGATCGACTATGAGCTTCAACTTAATTTTCACAGAGCTTTGCTACTATTGCGGAAAGGATTACCGACCTGAAAACATCCGTAATTTTGCGATAAATTTTTTTGAACGTCTTAGGATATCGTGCTTTCAGTTCGCTGTAGAAATTATAGGTCTGAAAAACAATGTGAGCGTAAAAAACTGGCGAAAGTAGACAAGTAAAATGCACATCTTTTTGAAATTGCTGACCTTATTCACAATTGGATCTTCATGATTACCTCGAATTACAAATACGCTCTTGTACATCACTACCTTCAGAAGAAGGACGAACATTAGTACCTGGAGAGCACATGAATTAGATTCTCTAAGGAACCTGAAAGGGTAAGATTTTATTACTATTAGAGTCATGGAAATTTTATTTCTTTTAAACGCGAAGTTTGCGATAAAAAAGAGGCAGCTACTTAAAACCGAGGAAGAGGTGGTCTGTGATGCAGTGATGATGAAAAAACAAGAATAACAACTTAGAACCCGAGAAGTGGGCTCTTTTGGCCGTTCATTTGCGCATTAGACGTGTCTCATCGATGGTGACCTTATCGACGTTAACGCTCTCCTTGCAAGGCGCTAGGGCCAGACGGAAGGGTGTGGTGGGGGGGGGGCGGCCATGGCGGCGCAAGGACGCCATGCTAGATCGCCAGGGGCAGATTCTCGGCTGCATTGCGTGACGTTCGCCCCGTTAGGGTGCTCCCTTTCCACTTGAAAAGCTTTCGTTCGATCTCCGACCTTCTTGTTCAATCTCCTTTAAAATCAGAATATTTAGTATAAGGACTATCTAGCATGGTACCTAAAACACAAAGGCGGTATTTTTGCTCGTCTTCATTTAACATGTTCGAGCATCTCTATTATTTTTGTCTGGAATTCAAATATGCGGTATACCTCAAAAGGAACAGGCTACAAGGGAGGTCTTTCAGGGCAAGGTGCGCTTTTTGGAAACGGTTTAGTACATATTGTAGGGACGCATGTATGGACCACAAAACCATGTTTCGTTTTCGCTGAACGGTTTTAGTAGTACCAAAAAAGTGGTGAATAATACTCCTTGATGGTTCGATCCCCCGCGGCGACTAAATTTTGCAATCAAGGTTGGCGGCCACTTGTTGGCTTCAAAATGGTCCTGACGATGAATTTGACATCTGATTTTGACATTTAGCGCGATTTGGCACCAAACCGTAGGCGCCAACCCAAATGCAAAATTTAGTCGCCACGGGGATCGAACCCTTAACAGTACCTTATGCTTCTTTTTTGGTACTGCTATAACCGTTCAGCGAAAATGAAACATGGTTTTGCGTTCCCTACATGCGTCCCTACAATATGCACAAAACCGTTTTGAAAAAGCGCACCTTGCCCTGAAAGACCTCCCTTGTGAGAGCTACGAGGTAAACTACCGCATAAATCAAGTAAAATGGGTGTAACCTCTGTGCTATGTCGACCTCTGTCGACATAATCTCCCAAGAAAAGGGTTGGTGTTTCAGGAGGCCATCCATTCACATGAAACCATCTCCAGATGTCACTGTATTGGCCATGGATATCTCCATAGATGACGATCGGCACTGATAACTACAAAATTTTGGATTACGGAAATCGTTGAATATGCCCTTATCGTCCCTTAGCAAAACACTCGCCTCAAGGAGTGTTGGCTCTTGTGAAAACACATCGTAAGCCTTGGCAAGAATGGCTATCATTATGTCGTAATCCCAGTCTATTTCACACGGACCGAGTCGAATCACCTTGAACAGTAAAAAATGTGCATTGATGGGTTTATCAGAGAACAAACGAATATGCAAATATTTTCTGCAAACCGCGTAAATTTC